TTCATTTCTTGCCTGTACGTGTCAATGCCCACGGAGTGGCCTGGATCAGTTATATTAATGTTCCGTGCGTTTGTGAAGTCAAGTACTCATTATTTTACTGTTTAAAAGAATGATGTGTCTAGTGTTGCATCGACTTTTCTCCCCCGGTGTTAGGAGCTCAGCCAACCCAGCGAAGCTCATTCAGTGGTTGATGTTTATTGTTACGTTTGGCAGGTAGCATTTGCCAGGTGGAACCCTTCTGTGTGACCGGGGCTGGCTGATTGATGAGTGTTATTATATTCCTTAAATGTGCCTTTTCGTTGGTAATTCAAATTTATTTATACGAAATATATTGGTGCATTCATTTGCCACGTGATTAACCGTCTGCACTATTGACATATTTAACAGCATTCAAAATAATCTTCATATAAGTTGTTTTAACCATGCAATCTGATCATCATGTCTAGCTTCTCTGCAAGCCGATGTGTTTGCTTATAATTAGGCATCATGAGCATCAAGAGTTGATGCGCCTTGTGGAAATAAATCAAAGGTACGACTTGGTATGTAAAACGGTCACCTGTTTGCAGGCGTATTTGCTGTAAATCAGATATGGATTATTCTACTCATTGCGGTTGAACTATGGGGCTGGCTGTACAGCTACTCTCTTATCATGTATAAAAGCCAGGAGGTCGTATGTCACCGTCTCGTTTCATCTATTGTTTAAATTCTATACCACTAAATACAATAAATAAGTGTTATTCCAATTGGTGTCTTTAAATTGTTTTGGTGTTTCTGTTGTCTAGGGTATAATTGAATAATGACGGTAGCCCATTGATTCCAGATGTGTTTATATCCGCATCCAATGGAATGGTTGAACATCCTGGTAAACTACACACGCGACTTTATTGCACGCGAGTCTTTTCTTGATTAAAATCCAGAATACCGGTCATTAATATGCAACCGGTGTTCGGTACAACGTTAGAATACTGTCACGAAGGTACTTGCGTCTGCAAATGCTCTGTATGCAAAATCAATCGATATGAAATAACCAAATATCAAAATGAGTCAAAATATTAAAAGGACGCGATACAGACACCCGAAAGAGCCTCGATACTTATTGATGAACGGACTTCAAGGGCAGTCGCGGGCATCCTTTGTCGCAGTCGATGAGCGGGCGTCCTCCCCTCGCCTGTAGGAGTCGTTGCGCTGCGATGTCTCCTCCTCCTCGTCATCCTCCTCCTCCGGAGCGACTTTATCCCGCTGGACGTAGCTGTGACTTGGCCCCACGCCGGCAGTGGCGGCTGGGGGACTTTGACGAAGTGTGGACGCGATCTCCCCGTGGGTGTAGGCAGATACATCGCTCTCTCTCTCTCTCCGTGCAGGTGACAGACGGACAGATATCTTCACCGTGGCGATAGTCCAAGCAGTTATAAAGTCACTCTTTAAATTTCGATTTAAAGCTTTCGTGACTGCAGGGATTCATCTTCTTGGTTCTTTCGGTAAAGTCACGTAGAAGGGAAGTAATAAAATACAAAATATAAAACATAATAAAATAATTCTCACGACGTTTCGGCCACATCGCAAGCAGCCGTCCTCAGGTGAAGACCAGGTCTGACGGGGAGACAGCGTCTGAATGGCTCATTCAAACGCTGTCTCTGAATGGCTCATTCAGACGCTGTCTCCCCGACAGACCTGGTCTTCACCTGAGGACGGCTGCTTGCGTTGTGGCCGAAAAATCGTGAGAATTATTTTATTATGTTTTATTTTTATTATTTTATTACTTTATTATTTCCCTTCTACGTGACTTTACCGAAAGAACCAAGAAAAAGTCACTCTTCAGCTCGCGTTGACTGCGGCTTGTGACTTGATTGGTCCAGTTCAGCGCAGGAGGTGTTCTCTCCTCTTTGTCGATATGCTCCTTGAGTTGTACTCGTCTCTACTTATTCACCAACGATTCCTTACAACGCTCAATCTGCAACAACTCTCACGCACCTCCGATTAGCACGGATGGCTGCGTACGGTGCGAAAGAAGTTCAACACACAGATGTGCATGCGTTGTGCGTGAATTGTTGATTTGTGTACCATTGCCAGTAAGTCTAGAAAATAGTTGCAGGATTTCTTTGTTGCACGTTAAGAAGACAAAACATCACATTGGGCTGCTCATTAGCCTGTTCATGCCCTCTGTAGTCTCTTCAAAGGCGGTGGAACTCCATGAATCCCCTGGTCACGTGGGCTCGGGGTGGTGCTGTAGATCACGGGGTGCGCAAGACACCTTGGACATTGCTCCAGAGATCCACGTCGGGAAAAAATATCAGGGATTGTCACGGATTAGAGGAGGTTTTTTTGTATCTGGCCTCCAAATAAGCGGAAAATATCCACGAAAACTCGACGGTTCTAGGATTTTCAGCCCCACGGGGACGGCCGCGACATTTTGGAATTCTTGGATTTTTTGGGGGACGTATTTTATTGTGTGTTAGTAAAGGTGCAGCCCTGCAACTGCTTGTTCAAGCCACTGCCGGTGGAACGCCCTCCACCAGAGTGAGCTCTACAAAGGCCCTCTACAGCGGCGTTCTTCACTGCGCGGCCCAATGGCGGCCCCTGGTGGCCTTCAGTGCGGCCCCTGACGTGCACCCCCTGACAATACAGCAACAGATGTGAAAACACCACACATCATGGTGTCAAACCGCAGTGGTTTCAAATGTGTGGCATGCCTTCACACTGATGTCTTGTCGGCGAAAGTGCCCCCCCACCACCACCCTGAAACTTAGTGAAGAACACTACTCTAGAGGGTATTTGGCCTACTCTTCCATGTTGGACGGACGTGTTGGACTAGTTGGGAGCACCCATACTTTACCCCACCACATACAACCTGCTGATTTACCAAATTTATACTGTGCAGAGGACAGAAGTGGCAGGATTTAAGAAACGTGCTCATTGTTTCAAATGCCACGCCAGGAGATTGAACCAGTGACCTCTGGATTGCAAGGCCAGAGTGCTGATCATTACACCACGGGAGCATCTTTGAGGAAAACAAATGTGTAGCATTCCAATTGCATGTTTACGGAAACACAAAAAGAAAATACTATGATATTATCGCATGGAGATCCATAGTAAATGTTACTACTTTCGGATAACACCGAAAAATACCATCACGTGAAATGTTCCAACGTTAAAACACCATATTGGACCCTTACTAATGTTAAACACAGTTGACATAGCAACTGATTTGGCTAGGTTTCAAATGCAATACTCGCATGCCTAGGATTTGAACTTGGGTGGCTGGGATTATATTGCATTTCTCTGATCAATATCCGACCACGTACACTCTCGTATACATGCACACCGGCACACGATCACACACGTGCACACAAAGGACACACGCATACAGTAAATTGATCTTTCTCTTGTAAGCTTCCCAATATGCTGCTCCCCACAGCCTCCTAATTTGTACCTCAGCTTGATCTCATACATGACACTCTGCCAATACATTTATATCATTCAATGTTAAGCGAGTGTAATGGTTTACTTCGTAATACGCTATTGGTGCAATTCATCGCTATATGGTCTGTATACGTATTCAGCGACATGGCCAATCTTTTCACGTGTTCCATTATATTTCATCCATATTTAAATGAGGTAATGATGCATTGCATGCACCTGCTCATTTGGCAAAATAATAATACAGCGCGTATGAGACTGTTTTTTGGAAAGAGTTATGTTTGCATGTGAATCTTGTCATAAGCGTATTCGAAGTATCACGTAAGCCAGAGACGCTGCAAATCCTTTGCTGATATATCTGTCAACCTAAGGGAGCATGTGTCTCAAATAGGGCTTCATTTCTCACCAAATGTTTTCTGGGTTCTGCCAACCCCCAACTACCCAAACCTCAAATCCTCAGACCCCCCTTCCCCCCGACAGCAGTATGGGGAGGGGCTATTTTCTGGAGCTTAACCTGGACACCTCCATCTGAAAAATAAGCCCTCACCTCAAGCAATTAACATAGATGCAAAAATGCAATGAGTGCAAAGTTACTAACAATTTTTGTTACCAATTTCTGGTGACGTACAATGTCACCTTTGATCCAATCTGTGCTTAGAGCGTATTACTCCTCAATTAAGCGTACCTTTCCCTTATAGGAATACACATACATGATCCTCTTTGAACTAAAGGCCCAACCGAAAAAAGGCCCTCTGGAGCATCGGTGCATGACTTCCCGTTGTACATTTCACACGTCAACGTTGGGTAGCGCTTTGTCACTAATTTCAGCCTTGGCTGCATGAGTTCCCGAAGGAACCACACACACTCTCTCTCTCTCTCCCCCGCCACCCGTTTTCCTCGCAGTGATAAAGCAGTCCATTTCCCCGCTCCGTACTCCCAGCCCCGTTGCAATTTAATTATTAATCACTCGACATGGTTGTTATCCATTGTGGGGCCCACTTTACCTGCAGAAGTATGAGACCGCATTTGCCGCTTCTCTCGATGTTGTATGCCAAATTTTATGCATCTCAATTTTTCTTTTTTTACGTTTGCTGATCAAAGCGGCCGTCATGAAACCTGTGTACATCATTGATTTGATGTAGGTCGTGGTGTGTGAGGGGGGTGATTTTTAGGGGAGGGGCGGGGGTGTTTTTTCATGATTTTCCAGATGTTGACCATTAACCCATGCATTATTCCATCTCAACTGGAAATGCATTGGTAATTACATAATTGCTACAATCTTACCAGATTCATTACCAACTTCTACCTGCATCCCAAAAGGTAAAATTTGTTTCGTAACATTAATTGCAGAGCCTGTGTTGAAGAAAAAAAAATAATGAGCAATCGTTCCTAAACAAAAAAAAATCCTGGCCGTTAGGCTGGTTCATCGAATGATTAGGACCGACAAAATGCCTGCAACCTTCATGCATCCTACCCCCACGGAGAACGGCACGTTGGTACACTCCAAACAACCTGACAGCCACGAGCCTCCACCCCTTTTCTGGAACCCACGTGGTACGGTCCGCTGTCAGGGAGCAATTGTGCGCGAGGAAGACCGGAGAGAGCAGGGCAGACAGGCAGTGAGAGGGTGGTGCTCGCAAGCTCTCTTCCAAGTGGAGGAATGAGGCTGCAGACCATTCGGAGCTCCTCCTGGGATCGGCTTTCGCGTGCTTCCCGTGACAAAGTGAGGCAGGAGAGAGCGATGTAGCTGCGTGACGCGTGCACATCACCTTTGGACGGACCTTCATCCCTTTTTCCAACGCTTGAAGCGAGCCTCCTGCATATTTGCCTCTGTCGCAGTGGGTCCTGCGCGATCGCAGAAATGTTCGCCGCCGCTCCGAGGAGACTGGTGGAATGGAAGTCAGAATTCGATGATGGACCATCCTTCAATTCATTACAATTGTGCATGTAATTACGGCGGACGAGGCATTTTCATGGGAGAACTTTGAATTCCGGCGGCCTGTAATATTTGGAAAATTGCAATTTTTGTGCGCATTGTGCAAATGTAAAGATTGTTTCTACGGAGGAAAAAAACGAGCAAAGAATACGTGCAACAAAAAAAATCCAGAGCGCCAGAGATGAAAGTAGCGTTGTGTACAGGGAATCTGGAGGCGGATACCTTTCACAATTCACAGTAAGTGTTATAAACATTACTGAAACATATTTTATTTATTTAGCGTATGCTTTATTGTTACGTGCAAATTTTATGTCTTTGGTAATGTAAAATGTAATGAGGTTAAATATCATGTGATATGTTTTAAGAAATATACTGTCATAGACATTTTTTTTTTAATGTTAAAATCAGTTGATGTTTTGGCAGTGAATCCATCAGTATAAGGTTGACTTACTGAAATTTTTGAAATATATATTTGAGTATTATTTTCTCATTTTCGAGGCATTGTATAATGTCCTTGCAAGGGTAAAATGTCAAGTAACATTTAAGTCCTATAACCCCATCTTCTGGAGTCTTGTGCACATCTATCTCCAGATGAATGCTTGCTTTTGGAGGCTGAAGATGCTTGCAGTGACCTAAAAGGAATAAGCAAACATATGCTTGCATGATGACGCCCTTGAATGACTGACGCAGGAGGGCTCTAGAGTGATTTTTCCCCCCTCAGAAAAAGAATTGGGGTGTCCTGGCTGTGAACGTCAATCAGGCAATACCAAATTGTTCTGCTTATGCAGCCTGGATTGCCTCATTATTGGATTTGCTGTTGATGGCATGTCACAACCTGCAAGCCCTCCGTATGAGGACAAAGATTCATCCCGTCGTCATCTGGAGGCTGGTCAGTTATCGACGATGCTTTTGGCAATTAAACTGGCAGCTAAATTTCAGTGACACTTGAAAAGAAAATGCCCGACAATATATTGTGAAAGAAAATATATATAAAAATGCGTGTAATTATTTAAATAAGTTATTTATTTTTTAATATATTTAAAAATGAAATGGAATTTCTTTAATATTAGCAATGCAAATAAGCAGTGACGCTCAGAACAAAACAATCTGCATTGAGAAGATAATTAAGCTTGGCTTGGTATTTAGCTTTGGATACTATTGTTTTGTGACGAACACAATAAGGAGATGCCCTGCTTGTAACAGTGTATCAATTTCAGTATTCAGCATTGCTAGCTTTCAGGATCAATTTAGGTCTGTTTGAAATCGAATACACAATTAGGATTTTTCCAGCCAGCAATTGCCTAAAGGTGTGTTGAATCAGCAGGGCTGAAGACATTTTAGCTGCAGTAATTATCCTACACAGCTGCTGAGCCTGATATGATTGAGCTGAGCCACAAATTTCGCTGTATCGACGGATCTCAATGCGAGGCACAGAGGATCAGATTGTAGCCGGAGGCTGAGATCACTTTGCGGCCATGAGGAAGTAATTGATCAGCGCTCACGCCTGATTTCTTACTGACCGTTAAGAGCACGGAGCCCTCTGGGGAAGGCCTCCAGGAGGTGGCAGCGGTGTGTGGCAGCAGGAAGGGGATTGTGGTGATCTCCGGCAGCCAGGATGCCTGAGCCGGCAGCAAGCTATGGGGCCTGTGAAATTACCATTGGACCACCGGCTCAGGAGGAGGCCGAAGTTATGCCGGAGGAAGGAGCGCCTGCGGAGTCAACGGTGGAAAAACCGGCGAGGCCAAATGCGTCGCCGCTCCGGGTTTGCCGACGGCTCGAGATGCTCTGCATCATCCCGATGGCCATTTGCTTCGTGGCCCTTGGGCTCTGCATCACGGGCCTCAAGTGGGTGTTTGCCGACAGAAGTTCGGAGCCATCTCCTCCCTACACAGACTTTTATCCAGATCCAAATCGGGTTGGCCAAGATCAACCAGTTATCCCACCGCCTCCTACACTGCACAACAATCGCTCCATCAACCCAGATACAAAGTTTCCCAGTTCAACGACCCCGACCTTCAACTGGAATCAAAATCAAAACTCCAACATGGACATGACTGTGCATTCGACCCGGAACCGGACTACCCACCACCATCCTCATCACCCAGATCGAACCAAGGTCAACATCAACCGACCGACATTTGACTCAAACAGAACTCCAACGGTTAACCTCAACCGAAAACCATCCCAAAAGCCGTCTTCCGTCACGAGAACTCCGTCAAAATTCCATACCCCCCGTGTGTCTATCAACCACTCCACGCTTGTGCCACCACCAATATTTCCACCTGTTCCTACATCCAATCTGTCCCCCATCGCTCCCCCATCTTCCTCCTCATCCATTTCCGAGTTTGAGGATGGATATGTGAGCTCCGCAGCGCCGGAGTCCGGAGAGGACTCGGAGGAGGAAGAAAACACAGCGGTGGTCGATACAGGCGACGACTGTGAGTACTTTGGGCTTTTTCACGATAGTGGAAAAACAAAAATAATCATCGTAACAAAAAAAGCAGCCGTTTTTACGTCACGAGCTTTCGTTGATGCATCGTAGTTAAAAAGCAATGCACATTGGGATACAGCTGAATGCACACATTTAGGTTAGATATTATAGATTATTGCAAGTGTGAGCAGCCATTAAGTAAGCCGTCACTGTATATGCAATGAAACACATACAATACCTTCCCATAGAAAAGTCCGTGCCATTAAAAACGAAGTCAGCAGCTGTACACGGAGTAGGGATCGCGTGTGTATCTTGAAATATGCTCTGAAATAGGCTGTTTGAGAAGTGTCGCTGTGAGCTTTTGCTGTTTTCGTGACCTGGAGGTGGCGAAGGAGGAGAACTTGATTGCATTTGGCTCACGACGGCACACGTGTCCATCCTGGCCATACCTTTAACCTTGACAGATGACCCTAGTTACAGCAGTTGACCTGGAAAGTCACAACCATTTTGCTGTGGTGTGTGATGAGGGGGGGGAATGCTCGAGTATGTTTTTTTTTGCATTAAAAAAACGGGACATCTTTAATCGCCACTCAATTCTGTGTTAATGTTTCGTTAAAGTGGCACTTTACCTTTTGTTGTTACATAATGCAATTATCTGGTCTAATCATGTCCCATTCGTTTGGCTATGCCTGGCTTAGATTTTTTGCGCTGCAGAAAATTGTCGTACCTGCAGAGAGAAAAAGCGAAATTTGCCTGTTCATTTTGAGTCGCTCGTTTGAAGTGCACAGCTTCGAGATGCATCGCTGCGCTGCGAATGTTGTAAGAGGCCCGAGGGGTGATCTCTCTTTAAGATCTCACTTTATAAAAAAAGAAAATCCTAGAGGGGGTTTGTTAATTTACTAAAACAACAAAGGTGTCGGAAATATCGGCGTACGAAGGATTCGATGAATAAATTAAATAACGGCGTTTGGGAAAATGGAGTCTTGAAAGAAAGGGTGAGAGAGAGAGAGGCAATGTTTAGAGCTGTAGCCAGTGGCAAATGTTATCATCAGCTATGGGCATTGCAACACACGACTGCATTTATAAAGGAAAATACTGTCGGGAAACTGCCGCTGACCACGTGAACGAAAAATTAGACGGTGATCCACAGCATCTCCCTGCGTTTGCTTCTGCTGCAGTGATGGATACAATACAGTCGGTCATTTATCAGAGTTAAGCTTCTACGTGTAATTTGCTACCGTTGCAATATATATATTTTTCAAGCTAAAATAGGTGGAAATTGGATTTGTTTAATGGAACAAACGTGATGTGTTAAAATGACAACGTATGATATTGTTCAGTCGTGTACGAAATGCAGGTGGTATGGTTCATTCTGCGCTATTGAATACTTTTTAAGAAGCACATGTATTGTGTACGTGCAATACAGGAGTATGATATATGCTATGGGAACAGGATGACACAATTACATACAGGGTTAGTGCATGCTTCGTTGCTTTTCATTATTTACAGAAAGTTGCCTGTAAAACCAATGCAATGCAATATTAAGTGATTTTTGCAGAGATTCAGGGAATGCCAAACGATTTATTCGAAGGTCAAATTGACTCTTTAACACGCCTTTTCTTTTTTTATCATCCACGCTATGCCTACAATTAAACACTCTTGAAAACCCACATCTTTTATATTTTCTGCAGATGTACAAGACGCATTTGCAAATAATTGCCGTACTAATAAGCGTAAAGGAAGAACTGTAAGCAACATCCAACACACGTGTTAGCATCTGATGTTATCTGTGCTTGTTGTGACCAAGAAGTGACGTCTTGGCGTGTAATCTTATTGGCTACATTCAGTTTAATGTCAACTCCACTTATCGTGACGCGTTTTGAGATCTCAGTGGCAAGGTGAAAGATGGACTCGGCTGGAAAATATGAGACCATGTTATGTACACATACTGCGCGCGCGCGTGTGTGTGTTTGAGCAAAGCATTATAACATCATTTAAGTATGATAACTATGTTTTTATTCTAGACTCATACATTATACATCTAGTTTTGGTGACCTTTGTCTAACGCCTGGCACTCTGTACGCTGTGCATAACGCTGCTGGGTAGTTCTACGTCGATCTTCGCGCAATAAAAAATAGTGTTTCATCGTAGGCTTATATTAAAATTGTAACTAATTATTAGTTTGTTACAAGAATCATCAATTCTCTCCAAAAAAATACCAGCGCCGCTTTTGATAGATGGCAATGTAGCTCTGTTTTTGTATTTTTTTCTTTTTCGTTTTGCACACCATTTCTGATTAAGTAAATTCAATACAATCGTTACATTTTTGTCTTTTTCATTCATTTGTTTTAATGAACCCGTCGTGTGACGGACAATTACACGAGTTTAACATGTTTGTTGTGGTGAATATTTCTCGATCACACACATGCATGCTCTTGAAACTTATATTTCAAAAGGAAATTTAAGTGCAATAATTTCCCATCATCAACGTTGCTTTTCTGTTTAACCCAATGCATACAGCTTGAATAATTGTAACCGTTAAACATAACATTTCAAGCATAATCTTACCCTTCAATTGCACAGTAATGCACTGCTTTTCATGTTTAAGCTCTCTACAAAAATGGCAAAATTAATGCTGCAGATAATTGCATCTTGATACGAATGTCTAAAACCACAGTTGCTTGTCTGCAGAGAAGCGCAGGTGCGGGATTCATGCAGATCCCAAAAATCGAAACATAAAAAAAACCGGCTTCACGTTTATCCATCGAGTGCATGATTATCACACTCGTTTCCTTCGACAAAACAGCACAATTCAGCAGCAGCGGCAGCTGAAATAACATTCATAGTTATCTCGCCATTTATAGTAATCTAACGATAGAGTAATCTACTTCCCAGGTGTGGACAGTCTCGTCTTTTACACTTTGAATTGCTCTTAGAGGATAAGAATCTCCAATTATGCCCGATCGCCCTCTGTGTCCAGGTCAACTGGATCGGCGAGAAAAAAATATAGTGCATCCATTTCGTTTGTATTACGAACAGCAACAAATTTTTATAGCTAAGCATTCTCCTTACAGAGTGACGGTCTATTATTTTCTATGCTTCGATTTAAATATGCATGTTGAATAATTTATTCTAATTTAAAACAAACAAGATTTTATGATCATTTCCACCCCCCCCCCCCATAACAATTAGTGAGCTAAAGGTATAAGCACGTCATGGAAATGTAATGCAATAAAATAGAATTTGTGTGTGAAAATTGTCATTTATTTTGGCAAGATTTTTTAGCAGCTTGTTTGTTCGTTCTCGTGCGGCAATTATGCAGAGGGATTTGGAGTGCGTAAACACTTTAGCAGGCGCTCGCAAACACCACTTCCCCCTATGGTCAGGAGGATAAAAGTGTCTGTTGTTCACAGCATGAAAAATACAAAGTCTGGAAAGTAGAAAGCGACGACAAAAATACACAATTTGCAAGTTCAATACCCGGTCAAGTTTTAGACTCACGCTGGCAATCCCTCCGAGCGCAAAGACATGAGAATTACTTTGTCTGGAATCGAATAGTTGGTCGTTCTGGAGGGAGACTGCCAAATCTACGCCTATGGCTCTCAAGGCCGCCGACGGAGATGAGCTTTTTGTCTTCAACAGGGAGACATTTAAACTGTGTAGACTTGAATACATGAACGAAAAATTTTCTATAAAAAAAAAGTAGCAACCATTATCTATCCAGTGGTGCATGAATGCCTTTTCAAGCCATCTCCTTGTCTGCATTTATGAAGCAAGAGTTTGTCTCGTCATTGGCCACTTAATTTTTGAAACTATTTAACATTTACCAGGTAAGTCCCACTCAGCGATGTAGCTCTTTTTTTCAGAAGCGACCTGGCTCAACGGAGTGGCTTATCGCTTGGAAATTTAAAGTAGCCAAATACTCTAAAGGCACATTGATCATAAATGTGGAGTGGAAAACGAGAGCACGCGACCACGGTGAGAACAGGCAAGCTCCAAATATACCGGCGTCAGGGTCGTGATCGAACCCAACAACCTCCTGTATCAGTTTAACACGTAGGCTTTCGCGACCAATGTTATTCATAATCAACGTTTTTGAGTTTAGATCGCGTTATTTATAAATGTGTCGTAACCCTCCACCACCCGACACGGCCAATCAGTAAAAAAGTGTCACGTTGACAAAAGACAAATAGTTCACTGCTTTAGCCCACCGGTGTGTTGAAGCCACAACATTTACACAACACACCGGTGGGCTAAAGCAGTGAACTATTTGTCTTTTGTCAACGTGACACTTTTTTACTGATTGGCCGTGTCGGGTGGTGGAGGGTTACGACACATTTATAAATAACGCGATCTAAACCCAAAAACGTTGATTATGAACCTCCTGTATACTCGTCGAGGTGGTTAACATCTCGCTACCATGGAACATTTTTTAGTCTCTTCGGTGCAAATGTCGCTTCTTTTGCCTGCCGCTCAAGCGTTAGTCTTGACCAGCGGCCATGACCCCTTCCAGGAACGTGTGCCCCCCTATCCAAGCCCGCTCGCTTGTTTACGTCAATTTCACATCTCTGCTTACGTATGATCTTTAGTCCACGTGATCATCTTTCTGACATGTAACGCTTTTATTGACACATTTACCTGTTTATGTTCCTGTTGATTGATATCTTATATATGAAAACTGCACAAAATTACATTAAATGTATATTTGAATGCTCTTTCATTGACATCAATATCTCTCCCCATTTCTCACCCAGTGACTAAATCGCCCTGAATGTCTCCAATCTTGTCAGCCCTTGGAAGGTAATGAGGGTGGAGCCTTGTTAGTACTCGGATGGGAGACTGCCTGAGAATACCAAGTGTTGTAAGGTCAGATCAGGCTGTGATGTTACATCGAATTTTAGTTTAGCAGTGGAGTCCTGAATCCATCTTTTTTTAAGCTCTGTGTCATCCCTTTCACTCTGAATTTTCTCCGGGAAGTCTGCTTTCCTCCCACACGAAGTAAAATAT